CCCCGGCGGGCGGAAGCGCAGGGGGCGGCGGGGGCTCATGGCCGGACCCCCCCGCTTCCTCGGTGCGACCCCCCGGCAGCCCTGCTTCTGGAGCCGCCTGCGCCCCCCCGGGGGCCGGGGCAGGGCCTGGGGGGCAAAGGGGGGGGGTTTACTTTGGCATCGGCATCGAAAGGGCAACCGGCGTCGCAGTGTCACCCGGCGGGGGTGGGCAGCACCAGCCCCCCTCCGGTGGGGCACATCCGAGCTCCTTCTCCCTCCGGGCAAATTGTCGGCTGCGGGAATGGGTGAGGAAGGATGGAAAGCCCTTTCCGTCGGGTCGGGGGGGCACCGCTTTCTGCTGGTGGGGTCCCAGAAGCTTGTAAGGAAGGGGGATACCTTCACAGGGCAGTGGATGCAGGGGGAGGAAGCAGACGAGCTCGCGGGCACACAGGTATTCAAACCAGGGCAAGAAATGTTGTCCATCACCCCAAAAATCACATCCGAGAGCGATTACAGTGTTGTCAGTCACAAAACGGCGCTTGAAATGTTTATGTTTCCCCCATTTCATATTTTTCCTTTAATAATTGTGTGTCGCCCTGTTCCTTCAAAAATGAGAGGCGGGATGGGGTGCCAGGCTGGGCTCAGGAGGGCAGGGATGGGGTGCCAGGCTGGGCTCAGGAGGGCAGGAGGTCCCCAGAGAGGAGGGTGGCCCCCGAGAGCAGGATGGATGTGGGTGACTCCTTCTCTGTGCACTCAGCCTTGCTACAAGCTGGGTCTTGTGAGAGTAACTGTCTTGTCTGCGTTAACCCAGAGGATTTAGAAGGGTCACAGCTACTGCTTCACATCCCCGCTCCTGGGCGGGGGGTAGCCCCTTGTCCCCCACCCTGAGCATGCCCCCCTGCTCTGCGTGGGGCGTCTCGGGTTGCAGCTCAAGGGGGGCACCCCCAATTTAAGGAGAGAGCCTACGGGAGCCACCCCAGCTGGCTGTTCGCATTCAGCTCCAGCGGACAGTAGGTTTCTCAAAAATTTATTTGGGTAAAACTTCAGGCTGTCCCAGGATTCGAGTAGAAATAATCGGTGGCTCGAGAGAAAAAGAGACTCTTTGCTTATTAAACCTTTAATTCTTACTTGTGGCACGGGGGGACACAGGAAGTACAAGTCGTACCAAGTGACAAAATTTTGGAGAGGGCAACTTTGCCAAAATGATGCCAAGTTTAATATTGTTCTGCCTGTGTTTGTTCCCTTGTCGTTAGCCCAAGGAGAGTGCAGGGAATATGAGTCATCAGAGCCGAACAGCCCAATAGGATCCAGCTTGCTTTAGTCCATTCACGTTTTTGGGCTCAGTGTGTGGCTGGAGGAGGGGACGGGGGGTCTGAGTGGCTTTCTGAGCCACCACTGTCCTTTGGACTTAATTATCAGATCTGCATGTGCAGAACAGGGCTTGCAGCGTATTTATTCTGCTTCTGAAGGTATTACCACTGCCGTGTCGTACCTCATCCTTCATGTTCCCAATATTTGGCTTCACAATGTGTAGACTGTTTGCTTATCGTGCCCTCCCTGGGTTGCAAGGGGGGCTCGTGTGGTTTCCCCGTGGCGGGAGCAGGCCGGGATCACCGTGGGTCAGCCCAGGCTGGGTCAGGCACGTGGGGCAGGAGGCGGCTGCTTATTGAGCAGGTGCCAAGGGGCCAGCCCAGGCCTCCTGCTTTATCACCCAGCCTCACTCCCCAGCCTCCCCGCCGGAGCAGGGCTGCTCCTGGGAAGATATTCTTGCGTGACATGTGTCACCCGGGCAGTTGGAGGAGGAGGTCAGTAAACCCAGATGTGGGGTGAGACTCTACTGCTGGTGGAGCAGACGGCTCGGCGCTCGCCCATCGTAGACTTTGGTCTCAAGGGATGCTGAACTAATGGGAAAACGTCCCGAATGAATCGTAACCAATTAAGACGGCTTGAGATTTTTCTTGAAATTTAGCAGCCCAAATTCAAACTCTTGGTTTAAATGAGAGCAATAGTGCCCAACGTCAGGGAAAGCCAAGTCTGAACCCAGCAAAGGATGTGCTTCGCTATTTGCCGTCACCCCGGGTGGTACCCGGCATATTTTCACAGCCGGTAGGCAGAGTGAAAACCCATTGTCAGCAGAGTGAAAACCCCTTGTACCTGCTGCTGAGCGTGGTTCTTGTCTCTTTAACGTGCTGCAGGCTTTCCCCATATGTCATCGTTAAAGCGGAGCCTGGAGTCTGGGGTGATGCTAAGCGGTTTTGCGGCATCTGGCTGCGAGGCAGCCGGCTCACACCACGCCGGATCCAAATCAGAGGCTAATTCCTTCTCTGTTTTCTTGTGTGGAGGGCAGGAGCATTCGTATTGCCTGCCTGGCTATTGCAGGAAGCAACAGCATGGCTATTCGAGTAGAAAAAGACTTGGCAAATAATCCCTGTCATATATCATTCTCAAATTATTCCTCGTTAGTCCTTCTGTTGAAAAATGGGTGAGAGGATAAGAGCGAGAGCAAGAAGAGGGGGGGGAATGGACTGATGGAAATATGAGCTTGTTGTAGTTTCTAACTTTTAGAAATAATATTGCCTTACAATATTTTTAAGGAGAGGCTTGATTTCCATAAGAGAGTACCTGCGCTATAAACCTGTCTGGAGTAGGAGAAGTCCTTCAAACACTGGGAAATTTTTTTTTGCTCTTTTGTAACAGCAATTTCTGTGCCTTTCCTTTATGTGACTGGAAATAAAGGTGGAAAATAAAGGGCAGGCTTGTAAGGAATTTTGGCAGTGCTGTAGGGAATGAGCAAAGCCACCTTGCCGTTCACTCAGCTGGTGGGAGCTGCAGCATGTTGCATGAAGATGTTGTTTGAATCACTTGCTCCTCCTGCCAGGGACTAAAAGCATCCGGCAAAGGCCAGCATTGTTACGAAGTTGCACATACACAAGGAGGTGCCTTTGGTGTCCCCCGAAGGAGGTGGCTGTGGGTGCCGTGGGTTGTGCTGAATTTGGGGCAGCGAGAGGTTTGGTGTGGGCAGCCCTTGTGCCCGTCGCTCCGTGGACTTAGGAGCCTCAGGCAGGAAGGGCTGGTTTGCAAATCCCAAACAGGTGATGGATGAGGCAGGCACAGGGAAACCATAGTCTCGGACTTGGAAGCCTAAATCCCAGCTGTGTTGCCCTTCAGGAGTGTGGATGGATGCTGTGGTTCTGAGCGCTGGGTAAAAGCAGGACGATGGGGTGGGGGTGGGAAAGCAAAGGGGGGCACCCCCTCTTTTCCCTCTCTTCCCATTCCAGCTCGATATCCATTTCAGCTCCTGCTCCTCCGGCCCTGGCTGGGTGCGTGCGGTGCCGGGGTCTGCGGGAAGCAGCGGAGCTCAGCTGCTGGGGATGGCGTCATCTGCCCCCAAGTCATCCTTCACCTCTCCCTGCCTCCCTGCCCACTGATTTGTGGAGCTGTGCCCGGCGCTGGCAGGGGAGGAGAGGCCTCCGGAGGATTCTCCGGGAGGATGGAAAGCTTTTGGTCAGCACCTTTAGGTGGTGGTGCTGCTAAAGAGGCTGGGACAAATAACTGCTGTGAAAGGGATGTTCAGGAGGGGCCCGGCAGGAGCAGATTATGATTTTCATAGGGGGTATAACCCCTTGGCTTCTACTTTACTTGCTGTGCACCTAGATTCAAGATAGAAGTAAAAATGAAATTTAAGACTTGATTGGACAGTAATAATTTTCCATGGAGGAAAAAAAAGGTTTTTGCTGCCGTTGTCTTGGATTAAAATAATCCTTAAGGTGTCTTGTGTGATCCCCTGCATACAGTTTAGGGTAAACTTGTGGTAAAATCCATGAAATATATATGCTTCTTCTTATTTATAACTTAGATCCAGAGCAGTAACTTAGGAGAGTTAGGAACTGGAGCACAATTGTGCAGAGATACTGGTGATTTTGGTTGTTCTTTTGTGGTTGCCTTTGTGCTGGGAAGGAGGCATCAGCCGGCCCTTTGCTGAACCAGGTCCCTCTCTGACCCACAGCTCCTCTCAAGAGCAGCAGCACAGAGGGGACTTCGCACCTTTTGTCACCCCCTCCCGTAACCCACCTTCACTGAGCCACCAGCTGTGAGATCTTGGCAGACTCATGGCTTTCTAATTTTTTTAGTTTGATGTTGTTTGGGAGCTGGTTCACTGAACAGGTGAGAACATACATTTTTGAAATAAGATGAAGCACTGAAATCTGTGCCGTTCAGTTGCTCCTAAGAAACCTTCGCAGCCACACGCAGCCAGAAACTGCTTTGCTGAGGATGCGCTGATTGATGGATGTTGCTCGTGCCCCAAACCAGTTGTGTTTCACACCAAGGCAGAGGGCAGTGGGACCATGTAGGTGGAGAACACACAAGAGCCAGGGGGTTCCCGTGAGTCCCTTGCTCCCACAGCTCCTGTGGCACAGAGGAGCTGGGACCTGATGTCCCTGCCTCCCAGCCTTTTCTGCTGCCCTTCAACACAACACCTGGCCCCATGGCAGCTCTGTCACGCCTCATCCCAACCTTGCTCTTCTTGAACTCCCCTCTGTCCTGTCCTTAGTGTGGTCCCGTGGCTCGATCCTGCTCAGTAAATCTCCACAATAATTGGCACCTTTCATCCCATGGCCACCCTCCTCCACCAGGCCCAGGGTTTGAATTTCAGGGTGGGAGAAATTGGATGTGTTCCTTGCTCCCCTCCCCAGTGGGAGTCATTGCTGAGTCCCCGTTGTCTCCTCTACAGGCAGGATCCCACCAAATTGTCCCCCCTTTCCCCTTGGGCCAGGTGGCAAAGGTAGATATCCAGGCACCCTCCTCCTCCTCCTCCCTCCTCCGCTGCCTCTCCTCTTCCCCGCTGCCTTTGTGCTTGCCCTCTTCATGGGAATCCTGTCCCCTTCTCCCTCCGATTCCTCTTCCAA